GTAACTGTGGGAATTTATTTAATCTCAAATCTCTCAGAAGTTTTTTCTTGACCAGGAAGTTCCCCCCCCCCCGCTTCACCCCTTCTCTCCCCCCCCGTACAAAAGTGCAAAATTAACATTTAATTAACATTTTTGTGAAAACTAATGATTAGCAATGGGTTATATTTAATTTTTTAAATTTCTCTACATTTGATTACCTTTGACCTTTGACCTTATATCAAAAATTTTCTCATAATGTATCGATTTGTAGCATTGTTTGTAATTGTAGAGTAATTCTCGAGAAAGAAGGGAGAAAAAAAAAAAGAATTGCAAATAGAAATAGTAACTGGGCGCTAGTGGTAGTAGCAGAGCGCTTTTCAACACTTTCACATCTTTCCTTTAACTTTAATTAGCTTAACATTTATGCATTATTCTCTCACCCACAAAAAACATAAGTCAATGTGAAATGAGAAAAAAACATTTTTCAAATTTCATAGTGCAAAAGAAAGATAATAGTTTTTTTTTTTAGTGAATTTCACAAGGACAAATGAATAATATCTGAATCTGAGATCATCACACTACGACTGACTACTACCGAACACATTCAGATCACTTACTCTTCCATCAATCACCAAAGCCGCCACCGATACTGCCACTGCCGCCACAGCTTTCATATTTCTTCTAATGGCTAACAATCCCAAGAAGCGTACACATACACATACACACATACACATACATACATACACATACACAGACACACATATATCCGAATAGTAATTAAGAATAGAAGGAAATGCAGCAAGAAAATGTACTTTTTTTTTCTGCCAGTTGTGTCATTCATCTGTTTCAGGAGATCGCTGCTTAAACGAGAATTACCGACAGAAGTGGCTTATGCAGTAAGAATTCTCGGTAGATGCCAGAGGAGCAATAATACCTCGGTAGATACTAGCAGTAATATCTCAGTAGATACTAGAATAGTAGTAATACCTCGGTAGGTGCAGAAGAGCAGTAATACCTCGGTAAATACTAGAAGAGTAGTACTACCTCGGTAGATACTAGAGGAGCAGTACTACCTTGGTAGATACTAGAAAAGTAGAACTACCTCGGTACATACTAGAAGAGTAGTAATATCTCGGTAGATACTAGAAGAGCAGTAATACCTCGGTAAATCTATTAATCTCATTGATTTCTGTACTTTGTTTACAATGCCAATTGATTCTTGTAATTAATTATTTATGGAAAAGTTAATCGAGCAAGAAAAGAATTTTTGTTACACAAAAGATTTAAATAAATCAAAGAAAGTATCATTGTGAATAGACGAGATGACTGACCTTTAGAACTTTAGGATTACTGACCTTTAGAACTTTAGGATTACTGACCTTTAGAACATTTAGAATAGTGACCTTTAGAACTTTAAGATTACTGACCTTTAGAACTTTAAAATTACTGACCTTTAGAACTTTAAGATTACTGACCTTTAGAACTTTAAGATTACTGACCTTTAGAACTTTAAAAATTAGTTAAAGAATTCAATCTTCAAACATTTCCTCAACGAAAGGACTTTCTCTCTTTGTTTAGTTTAACAAATTAATAAGCCTTTTCGTTCCTCTCAAAAGTAAAAAAAAAAAAAAGAAAAGAAAGAAAAGAAGGAAGGAAGGAAGGAGAAGCGAACATGGCTTGTTGAAATGAAAAGGCTAAGAATAAAATGAAATGGAGAAAGGATAGATGGATATATCTATCTACTATTTATAATTGCTAGGACAATTGACCATCGGTCATTTTGTTGATAACTGACCGAGCAAGCATACACTCTAAAATTTATTGAATAAAGCTGTTGGCATTATTTCGTTCAAACAATGTACTATCGATAGAGGTAGATTAAGCATTCGTTGGATTAGTAACGATGCAAAAAGGAAGGAAAATTTGAAACTTTCTCGATGGAAAGATGAATGCTAGGAATGAACAGGTAAGAGTGGAACTTACCTGTTTGACCCGGAATTGAAAAAAGATTTGATTTGACCTTAAGGTGAAAATAACGATTAGCAGCTGTGACAGAGAGATGTGACAAATATTTGTTGCATTGAATTCAATCTGTTCAGTGATTTAGAGGATGATGAGATTAGTTTTAATAAGAAATTTATATAATACTAAATTGAAATATCTTTTGGACAAATACCTCTCTGTCTAAGGGATGAGTCATCGTCATCATTTTAGCACAAAAGAGAGAGACAAATTCAAATTTGGCTTAGAAAACAGATGCGTTTTTATTTTAAATAACACAATGATTTATGACATTTGGCTCAATTCAGTTTGTTATGAAACAAAAGAGCTTTAAAATTTTAACCCAAAAAGAATTTTAAAATTTTAACCCAAAAAGAATTTTAAAATTTTAATTCAAAAAGAATTTTAAAATTTTAATTCAAAAAGAATTTTAAAATTTTAATTCAAAAAAGAGTTTTAAAATTTTAACTCAAAAAGAGCTATGTGACACTTAATAATAATAATCTGTATGTTATAATAATTTCACTTTTATTCCAATAGATTTAAATCAAAAATTGTTTTTTTTTTTTTAAATCAAAATTGATCAAAATTTTTTAAAACAAAATCAAAATTAATCAAAATTATTTTTTCTAAAATAAAATTTGCTTTATCTAACTTAATTTTGATAAATTTATAATTAGTATGATTACCAGTTAAATCTAATAATTGACACTTAATAATAATTTTACTTTTATTCTAATAGATTTAAGAGTAAAGCCATTAATCAAAATTGTTTTCCTAAAATAAAATTTACTTTATTTAATTTTATTTTAACAAATTTATAATTAATATGGTTACCTGTTAAATCTAATAATTAATTCAGTTTTTTTTTTTTTTTTTATTATATATTATTTGGACTATTTTAACATCCACTACAATTTACTTTTTTTTTGTCATAAAAATTAAAGAATTTAAGTTTTAATTATTTAAGTTTTATGTTTTTGTTTTTAAGTTTTTGTGTTTTTTAAGAATTTAAGTTTTTGTGGAAATTTCCATCCATAAACAAAAATACTTTTTGCAAAAAAGTATTTTATAGCAATGAAATGTAAATAGAACGATTAAATTTTCACTTTTTTTTTTTTAAAATAATTTTTTTAAAAAAAAAAAAAAAAAAACTCAATAATACATTACAAATAAATGCTTCTCTATCATTTATGTTTGCTATTACATATTATTTTAGGGTAAATATTTTAACTATTTTATTATAAATTCCTAAAAAAAAACAAAAAAGAAAAATCGAAAAATTGATTATATCAAAAGATTTAATAATTTAGAAACAATCTGATGGTGTATTTTTATACTTATAAATACTTTTATATTATGCTTTAATAATTATAATTTTAACATTTAAAATATTTCATTTAATTATTATTCTGTTTTTCTAAACTTTTTTATTTATTTATTTATTTTTTTTTAAGATTTACACTTTATTTTGTAATCATTTTTAACTGAAATATCCAAATAAATGATCAAATTTTTGTAAATTTATGAAAAAAAAAAAAATAGTTATCATTTTGCATTTGCTATTAAATTTATGAAATTTATTAAGTAATATATATTCGTTACAATGATTTATCATCAAAAAAAACATTCAAAAAGTAAAAGTAAAGTTGGTCACTTTATAAGTTTCTTTGCAGGAAGAATTTTTATTCAATTTTTTTTCTTCTATTTGATTTTGTAGTAAAATTTATGCAAAAATAAGTAACAATTAAAATCAAAGATTAGAAAAGAGTTTCTCATTAGAAAAAAAAAAAAAAAATTATGTAATAATATTTGGATTAAAGCAAACTTTTTTTTTTTTCAAAGACAAAAAGAAAAAGAAAATATTTGAATAATAATTAAGACTGATAGCAGCAGCAGCAGCAGCAATGGGTTTTCGATTTGATGGGTAGGAAAGAGGGGAATGATGTTGGTTACCCGAAATAGAAGAGTGATTGTTGGTTACCCGAAATAGAAGAAAAAAAAAAAAAAAAACATTGTGATTGTCTCTATAACATAACATGAATAAATATTTGAAGAGCAGATGTGCGATCTGACTGATCTATAACCATGATTTCAATTCGAACAATTTAGGGAAAGATTGAGGAGAAAGGGTAAGCAATGATTCTCAATTTGCTTTCATCTCGAAATGTTTTGAAAAAAAAAACCTGTCTGCATGAGAATAATACCCTACCATCATTTTACAGAGTGCTTTTGAAAGCATAAATTTATAGTATCACTTCATGGGAGTAATAATGTAAATGTCAAGAAATGAGTATTAGTTTGTTAACAATTTGATATCAGTTTTCAGAAATTTAATTTTTTTTTTTTTAACCTTTTTTTTAGTTTTTTTTTTTTTTTTTTAAATTCAGAAATTTTAGAAGAGCAATTATCTCATCATTTGTTGTATAATTTGGTAACTTCTTTAATTCATTTCATAGTTGTATTTTATAATTAATCTGTAGAGATATGTCTAACGAAGAAGGAAGATTAATGAATATGCTAAAGCATTGAAAAATTGCTACAACCTATCAAAGTAATAGCACAAAAAATTTAATCCTGATGTCTCCACTGGTCTTGCTGGTAAGTCATCAAGAGGACAATGTTTAAATCTCATTTGTTATTTAAATAAGATGCCAACATTGATATCAAAAAAGGATTTGACTTTATGATCAACCATCTACAGAGTGTTTAACCGGAATTGTTAAAAAAAAAAACATTTCAAATTCATTCAGAATTTTCACTGATATTTTCAGGAGCATAAGCAAGTTATAAATCGTTAATACAAACAGGAACTAGAACTAGAGAATATTCGGAATGTCATGTGGAATATTTGAAACATAGTATAATAAAAAATTTATCAAAATAATACATTGGAAACATTTGAAAGATGAGAACCTTTTCATATAACAAGTAACAGGCGAAAACATTTTTCAGTATTTGATTTGCGTAAATTTCATGCACATTTCAGCTAATCATTCGACCTCGCCTTTACGTGACAGTTAGTCGCGATGACTGATCTGACGCCGTTTCTTTGGCCACCAACGTAAAAGATCAGGATCAAGAAGTAACTTGGGTGGACGTCCCATACTAATTGATTTGCAGTGCTCAACAAGTCGTCTTGTCATCCGTACGACATGATCACCTTTCCAATATTTAATTAACTGCATTGTTTGTAAGGTAGAAATTATATCATCTTCGGCAACACCAGAAGCAGAACTCAAATCTGATACCTAAAATCGGAAATCAATATTCTACAATATATGCCATCTCTCTTTCTCTCACTTCACCCTTCAAAAATCATACCAAGAACAGTAGTAACTTCTTTATAGTGGCATATTCCACCTGCATAGATTTCACACTTTCAACAATTATCACATTTAAAACTCGGTAATCAATTGAATTCAATTAATAGCTTCAAAGTATGAAAAAAAAAAAAAAAAAAAAATCAACAATTAATTTTGAATCATTCTTACCGTTACATCATCAATATTCAGCCTATCAAGGGCTTCTAGTAATATCCACCACCAGTAGCTACGGTAACTAACTTTCCCCAAATCAGACAACGGTTTTTCGGGCGTTCCAATTACTCCTTCACGACTGGACAATTCATAACCTGTTAAAAAATATTAAAAAATGATTGAATGACTTATGATTTCAGTTATAACTTTAAATGATTACAAAGAATAACACGAAATGGGGGAAAATAGAACTTACTCAACTGTATAAGCAATTTCCCGTAACCCTTCCGTTGAAACGGCGGTAAAACCATAATACACGCAAGATTGTTTGCAGAAAGTCGTTCTTTAGAAAAATGACCAACCACGTGAGCGCCTACTTCATCAACCTAAACAGATTCAGTAAAATGGAATATACACAGATTCCATGCCTTACAATATAATTCCTTTCTATTGACATTGCTATGAGTGATAGTTTTGTTATCACAATGAGTATGAAATGAATGTCAAAATTACTTCGACATATGCCTTTCTCACTGAAATGAGAAATAAAACATAGTATCCCGAATAAAAGAATCCTTATAACCACTAATTATTATTAAAATTCTCTCATTTCTAAAATAATAAAAGCTTTACTTACCTCGCACAGCACATAAAACAAGAAAGTTTCAACATCAAAAAATAGCGTTTTGTGGTCCAGGAATAATTTTGATAGCAGGCAAAGACATTGACAATAAGCCTAAATAGAAATGCACATTTCATTAGCAAAACTCGAAAAAGAATTACTAACTGACTATAACTGACAATACGTAATTTCAAAAAAAAAAAAGAAATTTAAAAAAGAGACATTTTGGATCAGAAAAATACCCACCTTATTTGTTTTCCCGTCAACTTCATAAACCGATAAATTCCCGTCACGATATATTTCATCACCTGGCGGTTGTCGTCGATCACAGTAATGTAACTACAAATGTTATATTAATGAAGAACGAATCTTTTACAAAAAATCCCACATATCACAAATTTAAATGGGATAAAACAAAAAAAGTAAAAAAGATTCTAACCATATGACAGCAGTATTCCGCTTCCGTTCGCATATAAGCCAAACAATATTCACATATGTACAGTATTGCTGCCTTACTATATTCATCCGGATATGGTGAGACGTACCATGCGTCTATCTCATAATCACCGTACCGTATCTTGTCGATATTTTTTACTTTTGTCATCTGTTATAAAATAAAAGACATGTCTATGATGAGAAGCAAAAGTATGAATAAAGTATAACACTAAAAAATTCTAGAATACAAATTTTTTTGGACAAAATGAGAGGGAATGATATCTGAGAGGTCCATATTAGCATGACAAAACCACCGTTAAATAGATTGAAAAAACAATCTTCAATCTAATTGTTAGTGGAATAAAACTTCAACACAATACATCAGCTAATAATCAAACGTAGCCAAGTAGCTTACTAACGAATGATAGCTTACTAACGAATGATATAGGCATAAATCATCAAAAATAAATACCTCTGCATGTTCTTTTTCAAGCTTTGCTGTTGTTGCATCCATATCTTCATAACTTCTTTGCACATGATTAAATTCTTCGTGTATACGTCGCTGACTTCGAGTTAACGTTCCACTTTCCAGGGTACCAGTTAACGATGATGGTACCGACTACAAAAATAAATGCATATTAGCAACACTGAAATGTGATCACCAAATATAGAGCTATTAGGTAATATAATAAGAGGGAAAGTAAATGCTTTTTAATAAATAGAAAGTAATAGATAATTTCTTATTTGATTTACAGAAAGGTGATTTAGCTAACTTTCTACATTTCTAAATGAATGATCATCTACTCCCACATCCCATCAATAGAACATAACAAATTCATCCTACTACGAACTATATGTCAATTCCATGGATAGAAATATTCAAACTATAGCAAATGTTTTGTACCAAAACAGAAGTAAAAGCGTTCGGATTTGCTCTTGCCACAATACGATTTCTTCCCACCCATTCATCCAGTCGTCTATCCATGCCATCGTAATGAACATAATACATCTTAAATTGTTCCTTTCTGCAAATACAACAAATCATTCAATAAAGGAGTTATTAAAAAGTAATTAGAAAGTATTTGTAAATATTAACTTCAATTATTTCACATGGCTTACAGTTATAAACCTTCACGTAAATACTTTCTAAAGAAGCATAAGTATTTTTAGTGTTTTTAAGACATTTGATATATTGATAATCTGAATATAAATATTTTCAATGGTAAATAATTGTATATAAATTCTACATACTCGAAAAAAAAAAAAAAAAAAAAACTCAAAAAGGAAATCTTTGCGAGAGCAGTAAAACTGCTAAATAACAGCCAATTTCATTTAGCTCTTTAAAATTAATAGCTTTTTCCCTATTAGTTGGATTCATCATTTCTCAAATAGCTCAAATAGTTTTGTTGCTACAACTGTTAACTGTTGTTAATGACAACACTTTGCATAACTTAGCATTAAATTATACTTTTAAATTTTTTACTAAAGTTTTTTTATTCTACAAACCTTGCAGCAATGTCCGCTTCTACCGAAACGTTTTCACCCGACACATCATTTAATAAATTTGTGCAAACCTTACAGACATCCATATCATCCTAAAATATTTTTTTGTTTTTTTAAGAGGATAAATTGCTAGTTTTTAAAAAATCACTATAAGTAAAATGTATATCAATTAGACATATACTTTTCTATTTCTTTGTTTTTCATATTTCTATTCCACACACATTCTTTTTTTTTTTTTTAAAAATACATTTTCTTACAATTTCTGCTGTGCTCTTTTTTAAGCACAAATCAGTATCAAATAAGTAATGCATGTTTTCGTGAGTTCTACATTAACTCATCATTTTCTTTACATGTCAAAATTTCAATACTATTCATACAACACACAGAGAACAAGTAATTTCACCGATGATAAAGTGGTGGTAGTTGTAATTGTCGAAGTAGAAGATGCAGATGTGCTTGCTTGTTCACCTTCACGAATTTCCACGACCGTTGCAAGACAGCGTTCATCCGTTACGCCATTCTTGTTCGGTGCTCGACGTAATACAATAAATGCTTCACCCACTTTTAGCACTGTTGATGGTGTTAACAATTCTGGTGGTGATGCTGCAGGTGGCAATGAACGATCTTTTTTCGAACGTTTACTCATTTCGACAACACACACTAAATAAATATTGCACAGAGTTGTTATCATATGCAAAAAATGTATTTAATTTTATAAAGAAAAAAAAAATCATTACGAACGGAAAGAAATCACGTAAAATAACCACGTAAAATGTTACGTGAAGAAAAAAAAAACAAAAAGACAATGATCACATTTAAAAATTTAAGATTCACTCAGAAAAACGTAATCTGTATAAAAAGCATAAACAAAAAATGATAAACAGGTAGATAAACAAAATAAAGAATGTTATTGAAAATAGTTTTAAAATAATATCTACGTAAAAAAAAGAAAAGTATTGAAGCCAACGAAACTACCTATTAAAATGTCTACCACGTAGAAAGCCACATCCAGTAATCCCTCACCGTAAACAAACGTACGTCACTTGTCGCGACAAGGACCAGTTTTCGCATTCCGAATACGAGCCTGTTTAGCATCATTTCGAGAATGGACGTGATAGTTTACTGAGAACTTCACTACTTCACTGCTAATCACCGGTATATCTCGGGATTATACTGGTCGGTGACACGTTACGTTTCTAGTCTTAATTATAAGGATTGAAGATGACGGGAAACAACTCTGAACTTTGACCCCCAAATGCAATTGATTCGTTTTTTCATTCATCTTTGATCTCGAGAATGAAGAGGAGAAGTGAAGAATATATTCGAGATTTGTTTATTTCACAGGTCAATCTTTTTCTGGGACGAATAAGATGAGTGAAACACTGGAAAATATCAAATCTTCCATTATACGTTGGTGGACAGCAGTCAATGCTGATAAACAACCCAAACCGAATCCGGCACGAATGGTCACTGTTCAGGAAGTAAGATTTTCATTGTATTTTGTTCTGAATCAAAGTTTCAATTTTATTTATTCTGATTATTCTCTCGTTCCATATCTTTCTGACCGTTACAAAATATGGATAAGATTTGGTAGCTTACATGAGAGAAATGTTTTATTAAATCTGTTTACAATTCATTAATGAATTAGATTTCAAGTATTCTGAACTAATAAATCTTGCCAGTTAGTTGGATTTTTTTCAACTCTTTAATTTGCTCTTGCATACTTTGACATATGTAACTGAATCTATGCAAGAATTCCGATGATTTATCTTAGGTTGGACTTCATGAAACTTATCTAATGAGTATTACTACTTGAGGAGATAAATGAATATATGCTAGAAACTTTACAGTTACCGATATATTCGGATGAGAAGCCATACTATAAAGAAGTCGAAGAACTTCCTATGTCGATACAGAAGGAAATGGCATTATTACGACGTGCTGCTTTACGACGCTTTGGAGATTTTGGGGTAATTTCTTTTGGATACACCGGGCAACACGCAACTCTTAGCATGTTTTGAGGTATTTATTGGATGCTGGATGGAACACAAGTAGATGTTTAAGGAAAGTTAAAAATAAATTATGTATTATGCGGTAGAATGCATCGTTTTCATGACTTCCAGGTGTTTGTAACCGTCATTTGGAACTTTGTTAATCAAGATTACTCAAGACTTTAAATGCAGAATACTAACATTTTTCCATTCATCCTTTTCTCATGTCTATCCTTTTTCTTAGCCTATATCACTTTTCTGTTGTGATAATAGCGGATAATAATTTGTGGTTAATAGCGGAATTTCATCAAATTTTATGTCAAAAAAATAAGCGAATTTATATAGGAAATTATCTGTAAATTATCAAATGATTGTATCTTGAAACTGGAAACATAAGAATGAGTAAATTCACGAACTATTATATACTACTATTTATTATCCTTCCAAGAAAATTCATTGCACTTGTTGCTTATTACACTTTATTTTCTGATGTATTTATTCCATATAGATATTATTTATGCAAAGCGTTTGCAGGAATCCTATCTGAATGTTGAGGAGAAATCGAAAAAGGTTTTTAACTCTGCTCAAGGTTAGCTCTTCGAATAATTCATGTATGTATTTTTTATCTTCAAATTTTATTGTATCTGATGAAGAGTAACTGATGAAGTTATGGAAACTTTCAAAGATTCGCTTGGTCAAGGAAGTAATTTGATATGAAACAGTTTGCTAACCTTTCCAGAGGAATTATGTTTAATTGCAGAATTCCAACGATTTTTGCAAGAAGATTATGGATTATTACCGAAAGCCGCTGCTATCACCATTGGTGGTCTTACTGGTTTTTTTCTTGGTATGAAAAAGTTAGTTTTTAATATTGCTATATTCATTGCTCAGAAATATAGCAATTACTTTTCATTTAAAACAGGTGGAATTTTAATGCTGCCAGTGCAGTATTGTTTAGTTCAGCATTAATGGAAATCCTGATTGTTGTCAAGTGGACTTTTTTAGGTCAGTATTCCGCAGATTTCTGTATTCTGGGATGGGTTTATTAACGATGACAGCATTTTGTTATCCCTATGAAGCGATTGCTGTTACTCGCACTGCATTCGAACATGGTAAAATGGCTTGGGAGAATTTTGCTCGTTGTAAGTTACTTTTTATTTATCTTTGTTCCATTATCCACATTTAGTTTCAATGCTGTAGTGTATGCTTTGTTACAGTGAGAAGTTTGAAGTACTCATGGAGATAAACAGAACATCTAACTAGAATAAGCTAATAGGAAAGTTGATTGTGAAACGCTATTTACACATATTTTTGCTTTTTGTGGTTTTTAATGAAATATTGGGTCTGCGGTATCGAACATTTAAAACTTTTTTATTCTAACAAACTCATTTTTCTCGTTTCTGGATATTTAGTTTGATAAACAGAATTTATACTGAGCTAATGGTGAAAATATAAGTTTATTGAAAAAAAAAGCTAAATGTGTTCCGTATTATATGAAGTTTTCTACTTTTTTTGTAAGGTTATTTGTAAAAAAAAAAAAAACAAGGTTATTAGGAGATATGTAAGTGTTGATTACTTTATGAGTATGACTCATGAGTCTCCAATACAAAAATGTTTTATCTAACTAGACGACGATTGCTTAAGTGAAATTTTTTTTTTCGTTTGTAGTTTGTAGTCTTCTTTGAGCTATCATTAATACACTCAGTATTTTCAGCACCCGAACCTCCTGAATATTCAGTTCGAGCGGATGCACCTTCCTCTAATTCAGAACAATAAGTGAATCTTTAGAAAGATGTTAAATGCTGCTGTCTTCATACGACAAAATGTAAAGACCATTGTATGTATCAATATATAAACTGAATTTTAGCTAAATACTTTTCTCATAGTTATGTAAATTGTTCTCTATGTTCAGGTGTTGTAAAATAATGTTAAAAATGTGTTAAAGTTGCGTTAAATAATTCAGAATTTTCAAGATCAGTTCTGTATAGATCTCTTCCAGAGACACTGATCGATAATGTGGCTGAGACGTTTTCATTACTAGATGAATCCGTACAGATGAATAAATTATATTTTACATCTTTCAACCATGCAAATGCATCTATACTTTTCATCCCTTTTATGTATAAAACGCTTTCAAACTAAAACAGTTCTATAGAGGTCTTTTTTCATAAATTTTACTCTAAATTTGAGTCAGCCATTTAAAATTGTTCCTCACTTTTCACTACTACTGGAGAAGTTTTCTTAAAAGTTGTAACAATTAAATGAATTATATATGTAATTTGTGTTTAACCTCTTCTAAACTATGTTCTTTTTTCTTGCTACACCTGAATTTGAACAGTACTTGTCGAACAAATCATTCGGTTTACCTTCTCACTACCGGTGTTTCATATGAGAGAGAATCTTTCCGGTTAGTCTGTGAATGAATGACCGAAATAATACCAATCGATTCATTCATGTTTAGCTGCAATTATATATCATTTTTGCTGAACTTCGGTAAGTAAATTTTTGTAAATCTTTTTTCTTTCAAGTATGACAAATTAATTTATTGGTTGGTGTACAATCGATAACACGAAAGTTTAAGTTTTAGAGGCATCTCTGCTGCCTAACACAAATTCATAAGAGAGAGAGAGAGAGAGAAAAAAAAAGACAAATTTTTTGCTTGCATCTGAACTATGATTATCTAGAGAATTTTATAATATCTCTCATTATCACTCTTTTACAATTTTGAAAATTTCCATTCAAACAAAGACTTAAAATTCAGAGATCAAATGGGGAATGAATGTGAACAAATTAAGTACAGAAAACTTTTCTGAGCTTTGTTTGATGGAAATAGGAAAATAAAGGGATAAATGGACTTTTTGTTACAGCATAGCATGAATTATCTCATACAAATAAAACAGAGAGAGAGAGAGAGAGAGAGAGAGGATACAAAGATAACAAAGAGATAATTTTCAGATGCAAACGAGCATTTTTTTTTTTTATTTTAAATATTAAGAAACAAAAAAAACAAAAAATTGAGAAAGCACTTAAAAGTTTGGACATTTATCGGAAAAAAAAAAACTATTAATAACAATTTAAATGATAGTGTCATTTCTAAATTATCAGTAATGTATTCGATGAAATTTTCTAAACAATTTTATATGTGTACATGTATTTATATATGTATATATATATTATGTATATGTATGATCAAACATACAACAAATATTGAATTCAAAAAAAATGGATAAAACGAAAAAAAAAAAAAAAAAAACCCGTTGAACGGGTAATAATCAACATTAACAGGGAAGGAATTGAATACATGACAAACAAAAATAAAATAAACATATATGAAAGAAATAATGTTAACAGCAAAGGCGAGCTCAGGTGATTTCTTTCATAGTGATGATAAATGATAAAACAGTTATCAGCTCGTTATCAAATACAAACAAATAGCAAATGATAAAATAAATTTTCTCATTATAAAAAAGAAAACAAAAAATTTTCAAAGGAAGAACTTTTCATATTGTGAAATAACTCAGAATTTTTTAGGATAAAATTGTTTAATAAACAATTTTTGAGAGAATATACTAATAGCTTCGTCGTACGAAATGCAAAAGTTTAATTAGAAATAGCATAAATTCTCTTACATTTGATAATAAATGCAGAGAGAGAGAGAGAGGGAGGAAAAAGTAAGAAAGTTATTTTAAACAAAGAGTTATGCAAATTCTAAAAATTAAAATTAAACATAGCGAAATTGAATTATGAACAAAAAAATGATGTTAACGTAACAAATAGTAAATTTAAAAATGGAAGAAATATACTAGCAGCTCATTAATAACAAATTAATTATTATTCTGTTTTTTTTTTTTTTTTTTTTTCAATTTTATAAAATTTAAATTAGAACAGATAAAATTTCACCGAACAATTTCAAATCATAAAATGTATGAAAGAGAAAAATTATGGCAGGAAACTAATGTCAAGTACTATCTATATATGATTTGTATAAAAAAAGGAAATAAAAACTGAAAGAACGATGTATAACATTGGATAATAATGTATTTTAAATTTATATATGATAATTTTTTTCTTCCGTAATAATTGTAATAACCGTGTTTAGATGAAATTAAAATGAAATATTTGATGATGAAGAAGAAGGCGAAGGCGAAGAAACCAGGAGTGATTATAGAAGAATGAGTGAATAAATGAATGAATGGTTTCAAGAGACAAAGAAATAAAGAGAAGTCATTTAGTTAATAGAAATTTAAAGTACTTTATGCAAATTAGAAATTACTACTACTCTGCTTTTCAATAGGTATATCAGCAATAAGACAATATTTCACACTCAAACAAACTGTAGAAGAAGAATTGAATAAAAAAAGTATTCAATTTTTGTTGTGACATTTCCTATCATCAAAGCAATTCCGTAAATGTTAGCTTTAAGAAGCTAATGTCACGATGTCATTCATCAAACAAGACTTTTATTTATTATTATTATTATTATTATTATTTATCATCATCACTACTTATTTATTATTTATTGTTATCACTACTTATTTATTACTTATTGTCATTACTACTTATTTATTACTTATTGTCATTACTACTTATTTATTATAATTATTATTGTTATTATTTATTATTATTATCATTATTATCATTACTAATTATTAATAGTATTAATTTCTGATTACTACTATTAAATGTGAGGAGAATTTATTTTTACTTATTTAAATATAATAATAATAATAATGTGATGAAAATTGAAAATTCTAACTAACTAGCTAAAGCACCAGATTTCACTGAAAAATGAAAATGTTAAATGTATGAAATAAGCAATTTGAAAAATTTCACTTTCATTAATTTTCCTATTTTCAACTATTTTAAATTGAATAGAAATTTATAAACAAAAAAAAAAAAAAAAAATTTGCAGGTAAAACAGGTAAAAGAGGACTAGTGATAAAGACGAAACTGTTCTATCAATAAACGAATCAATTAAAGATGTATTATTGATTGGAAAAAAAAAAAGAAAGAAAGAAAAAGAAATTTAATTATATTTAAAAAAAAGGAAAGAAAGAAAAAAACTTATAACTATAAGAAATGAAATGCAAAACATAAAAATTATATTCAATAACAAGAAATTATAAAAACTTATTTCCTGAGTGAGTATAATCATGTGTCACCTATTAGACACGTAAGTGACAGTTTCTTGCTCTTTAAATTGGGGGAGGGGGGACGTGGGGTGGGGGGGGGTTTCTCGATTTTAATTTTAATTAATATCATTATTAACATTAGAAGAAAATAAATAAAAAGAATATATGCAAATGATTCTAGTATAGTTTCTATTTTAATTCTAGAAATTTTTGAATTTATCAATTTCATAAAGAATCATCATGATATAAAACATTGATAATACTACTACTTTATTATTATTATTATTATTACTTTATAACGTTGGCAGTTATTGACGTCGATCACAGATCAAACGTTCTCGTTCCGCTATTGACGTATTACACGTGGTCATAAATTATTTTATAACGTTGACAATTATTGACGTCGATCACAGATCGAACGTTCTCGTTCCGCTATTGACGTATTACACGTGGTCATAAATTATTTTATAACGTTGACAATTATTGAGGTCGATCACAGACCAAACGTTCTCGTTCCGCTATTGACGCACTACACGTGGTCATAAATGCGTTGGCATTATTTAATGGTCGAATAACTGAATCTCGATAAATTGCATTTAATGGCATACCACGTCTATTTCGATCAGCGCAACGAATCTTCCGTAATGGATCTATAAAATTATCATCAATTCTTTTTTTCATCAAAAATAATTATTCTTAAATTTCAAATTGCATTCATAAATTAAATATCCGGCAAGTTATTGCACTTCCAGAAAACCGGAAAAGAGTAACAACATTTTGTTTTGCAACGTATTTCATTTAATAGTAGTTGTATGAGATTTTAATTATGCAGAAGTCATAAATCTTACAAATTCTGTCCTCTTTTTAAATTAACTTTTGGCATTTAATCAACTGATTACTGATAAATGACAAATATGAGTAATGTTTATCCAAAAATAATAATTTGAGTCATTTATCAATTACTCAAATAATTACAGTAAGTTTCAGTTTAACTAAATTAATATTAATTTCATATAATAAAATATTTCAAACAAAAAAAATTCAATTGAAAGTTTTTTTTTTCTTTTCTTTGTCATTGAGTTTATTTTTGTTGATTATTATTCAATTTTAAATTACTGATAATCACTACTAATTAATTATCTTAATTAATATTCTTACTTATCTTAATTATCTTAATTATATTTTATTTGAGCAATTTTAAATTACTGATAATCACTGTTAACTAATTATTTTAATTAACATTCCTTATATTTCATTTGAGCATTGAGTCATTTATCAATTACTCAAGTAATTACTGAATTTATTTTTTATTGATTATTATTCAATTTTAAATTACTGATAATCACTACTAATTAATTATCTTAATTAATATTTTTACATATTTTATTTGAGCATAAGCAAAAAGAAAAAAAAAAAAATTGCTACCCAAAGGTAATAACATATCATACCTGTCTTATTATGTATTAACCATAAGGTAGCCACAAATGCGACACCAAAAGCAAATGATATGACAGCAATTATGATGACAACATACAATGGAATACCATCTAAATGACATTCTTCTTCTTTTCTTAGTGCTTTCTCAACTGCTACAGCACATACTTTAGCACATTTTGAATCTAAAAATTTTTTTTTTGTCATACA